GAGAAGGTGCGCCCTGGCGACAGAGCGCCGAAGGGATTCCTGGAGTGGGGGCGCCTCGGCGCCTATAACAAGGTCCTCCTCGGCGGCGAGCCCCGGACCTTCCCGGCGGACGAGCTCTTGGGGGCGGAAGAGGTGCTTGCGAGGATGTATTGGGAGCACACCAAGGAGCTCTCCATACACCCGTCGCCCTCAGCGAGATCCTGGCGAAGCGGACGTTCTCCGCCCTCAAGGTGCGCAGGGCGGAGCTTGCGCGAGAGGAAACGGAGATGGCCGCTGCAGAAGCAGAGAGCTGCGAGATGGAGCTTTACATGCTCCTGAAAGACTTGGGTCTGAGGGACTGACAGTGTCCGTCCTAGAGACTGCAAGCTGTCTTCAGGGGCCCCAGGGAGAATCTTAGATACAGATCCTCCACTTGGCAAGGCATAATCTAAGAAAGTGCTGTAACCTTTCTGATATCGAAGTAAGAAGCAAACCCTGCAAGGGTTCGAGAGGGCCAGATAGACATGGCTTGCTTGATTCGCTAAGACGGACGCCAGCTTGAATGCGTGAAATTGGCCTGTCGCCTGAGTTTGGATTTCAGGTTTACTGTTTTGGACAGGATTCAGGTTTAGGACGGTGCAATGTAGGATTCCCAGATTCGGGTTGGAAGCTTCCGTGTATTTACAACTCTGTGACATGCCGTCGTCCTGGGGATGCCGGGGCCGAAGTATCCGTATACCCATTACAAATGAGGAAAGCTTGAGCTTGCTCCTTGCTCCCATAGTAGAGCTTCGGGTCTGTTTCTCGACGTCAATCCCGCTTTGACCCGACAGAACCATGCGCCAATGCACGGTCGCATACTGTTTCGCGTGCGAGGCGCTGAAATTGCTGCTCCAAGACCAATGTGTCTGGGGTTCACTTACACCTCCGTCCTAGAGACTGTCAGGGCCTAGGGTTGGGTCCAATAATAGCCTTAGTCACTAACCCACCGCCTGCGGGTATAACGTAAGAGCGTGCTGCAGCCTTGGGTATCGAAACATAAGAAGCAAAATCTACAAGATTTCGAAAAGGGCCAGATTGAAATGGGCCAAATTGACATGCCTTGCTTGGGTGCAGGATCAGCAGGTTGGTTTATCCAGGCTTGTGATTCACTAAGACGGATGCCAGCTTGAAAGAGTGTGTGAAATTGGCCTGTCGCCTGAGTTTGGATTTCAGGTCTACTGTTTTGGACAGGATTCAGGTTAAGGACGGTGCAATTCCCAGATTCGGGTTGGAAGCTTCAGTGTATTTACAACTCTGCGACATGCCGTTGTCCAGGAATGTCCAGGACACGCCACTTCCCAGAGGTCCAAGTCGGTGCAACATAGACGCCTACATACTGTGCAACGCTGTCCCCTTAAGGTCCCTCTTCTACGTAAACTTTACTCTGCCCCGAAGCCATATTCTGTTCGATCAGTTCGAGAAGCATTACTCTTCTAATCATTGCGTGCCAGGGACTGGATTTGTCGGCCATTGGAATTCTGCAGTTCTAACCCATATATGGGAGAAATGCGACAAATACATATACATCATTGTACATGGGTTGGACCCTTGGGAGGAATCCAACGCCGTGCACGAGCTTGTGAAAGCAAGAAACCTGCCCTGTTTGGGCATGGTTATGTTTGCTAGGGTTTTTTCTTGCACGTTTGGTCCGAACCGTACTCAAACCCTTCTGAGGCGTTAAGGAAGCCGAACATGCTTCACTTGCTCTTGCGTAGGGGGAGCTGCCGGGAGCCGAAGTATTGGCACACCCATTACAAACGGGGACAGCTTGAACTTGAACCCGGCTCTTTTTCTCGCAGTGCCTTGAATGCCACTTTGTCCCCCGGCAATCCGGCAGAACCAGCATGGCGACAACGCACGTCGCATATCGGTGAGGGTGCGAGGTGGAAAGGCACGTTAAACAGGCCGGCAGTTTCCGAGTCAAGTTGCTTGCTAGCTCACTCCACATCGCACGTAGATCAGCTATCAAAGTGCTGTCGGAGGTGACAATGCTCAATGCTTCCTTCTTGCCGCGATTCTAGCCTGCTGCTGTTGGATCAGGAGAAGTGGAGTGATGTAAAGCTTCTTTGTAGTGATCGGTCGTGCAGGTGTGCCTAGCTTCGGTGCTTGAAGCAAGAAAGGTTGGATGTGGTGCAGTCTTGCAGACGGCTCTCATTTGCTACCATTACTCCCTTCATTTGCTGCTACGAATCTCAAACTGTGACATCTGGGCCCGCTGAGCTCCTGCAAAAGTAGTCGCGATTCTGATCAGCGTTCATGGGTTTCTCGGAGTTCCACCCGCGCCATAAATAAACGTCCAAGCAGTGCAGACTTCATGGCATTCTTGCATGCTTCGGGTTCTTTCGTTGCCTTCCTGCGGTGTCGCTGCCTAAGGTTTTAACTCGACTCTTCGATGCGATGGATGTCCAATGGTGGGTCAGCACGGGCCCCGTTCACCAAGTCGCCTCATTTTCAAGTGGCCGGAAGTCCCCTTGCCGCGCGCGATGAAGTTGGAGAAGTCTGCGCGGCGAAGCTTTTCAGAATCCACAAACACCACAGAAAGGGTTTCCGGATGTTCCGGCCACGCACGGAACCAGATTTGAGGCCATGGCACATTGATTGGAGCGCTGCGGGACGGCGGTCTCAGCCGGCATGCAGATGATTTGGAGGTCCCTGGGATGCTGGGCTGGAGGAGGGGGCTGATTCCCCGATTCGCGAGGTAGATGTGCCGGAGATTGATGTGGAGAAGATTCAGGCCCGATGCTGCCGGGTTGTGCAAGAATGTGCAGGGTCGTTTCCATAGCTATTGTTGTGGACTGGCCTGAATGCCTTCAAGTCTGAACATGTGTGAAGCAGCATTAGGGGCTTGGGATTGAGGGTGTGCGGTGTAAGTGTAAGGTTTAGCATTGAAGGTGTAGGTCATGGTAAACGGAGGCGGTCTCTTCGTGAAGCCGATGTTTCAGAGTCTTCTCGCACACTTGGGTCAAGGTCAATTCGATTGTGTGTTCTGCGACTAGTCTTTTTCTACCTTGCCTGAGATGTGCAGTGTTCTACAACGAAGCCAACTTGTGCCATTCGAGGAAACGCGGCTAAGCGAAACGAGTCCACGTGCCGTCAGAGACAAGGAAAATGGACAATCCATCCGTGCAACTGCAAAGTGTCAACAGCAATCTCTAAGTCAGAACACAGTTGTCATTTAATTGGTGACCCTGCATTCACTTACCCCTGCAAGCCTTTATCAGATGACATTTTAACTTTGCTGATGCGTGAGATAGGCATAGAGCTTGCCAGCTGCTTACGTTGCATACAAGTCAGTAAACTAGATCGTGCATGCACATACCACGAATATTGCCTGTTTAGACCTCGGAACTGGTGTCGGCATAGTTGCTGGTACGGGTGCAGAGAGATGGACGCACGTTTCCCAGAGCTCACACACCGAAAAATTAAGCAAACAGCACATAAACACGCACAGAGTCCTTCCAAGAGTCCAGGGCACTCGAATGAGAGCAGTGCTCGGCCGAAACGGCCTTGAGCTTAGCCTGGGCCCCAAGCAGCACGGATGGTTGCGGTTTACAGTTGGGGTCTTGAGGGTTTCAGCTAGGGCCCAGATTGCGGCTTGTAAAGAATTATACTTCTCGCAGAAGAGCACGCATGCTCGGGCCACTGCACTCGACTGGGCAAGCAAATTAGTCTGACGATTGACAGTTTTCGCTAGACGGAATCATGTTGTGAATCTGTGTCCCTATTCTGCATCTACGTACCAGACGAGAGCTGAGGCGTTTTGGATGCAGGCTTGATTTAACAATTGCTGAAAAGCTTTGATCTGCTGACTCAATTATGTATGCATGCATGCATGCGTGCATGTATGTCTGTCTATCTGTCTGTCTGTCTGTCTGAGTAGCTGTCTGTCTCTCTGTCTGTCTGTCTGCCTGTCTGTCTGTCTGCCTGTAGGTGTATGTATGTGTGTATGTGTGTATGTATGTATGTATGTATGTATGTATGTATGTGTGGGTATGCATATTGGCTGCTTGCATGTGTATATGAGTGTGTGTACATGTATATGTGAATGTGCTTTCATGTGAATATGTATGTATCTTCTACATGCACAGTTTTATGTATGTGTACACATGCTTACATACATGTGCAAAGTGTTTACTGTTGAACTGTGTTCGTAGTGCATGCTTGGTTGTGTCAGAGGATTCAGAAACTGACACGGTGCAGTACTTCATGACCCCCACTACGCAGGAACTTAGTACTTAGTAACCCATGTGTCAGTGCAGGTGTATCAGGTTACTACATCGGTCACTAACTGGCTACATGCAATTGCGGAGCTAGCGACAGAAAGGTAATTGGAGGTCGGGTTCAGCATCATATCTCACCTAAGGAAGTACAAGCCAACATGCCTACTCGGATGTCTCTGCGGCAGCACATTGTATGCAGCATATGCAAATGCCACTTTGGCAGAGGGTAACACACTGCAGGATGCCACTTTGTTTGACTTGGTATCGTAAGTCTACGACGCGATACTTTAATAATTCTGTTTCTCAACACTTTCAGATGCAACCGTTTTCAACATGTAGAAGCACTCCAAGCTCTGAGTCAGCTTCAGGCTACGATCCGCGAGGCAGATGCTTCAAAGTCTGGCCTACCGGCTCTGAGAAGGTGCTTCCTGCAACAACTCCCAAGTCAACTCCTTAATTAAACCTTACTATACTCCTCAAATAAACCATACTATGCTCAATCCCAAAACCCTTTTGGCCGCGAATTCCGAGTCTAGACTCTAGGCAGAGGAAACAGGTGCTCAAAAGAGGCTTGGTTTGGACTCTGGCATGCCACAGCAGTCCCGAGCTCAAGCTGTAGCACACTGTAGTCTGTAAGCTCCTCCATGACTTTTTTGAGTTTTGGGCCATCTTTGGGGCCCAGGGTCCCAACCCGGGCCTCGCCCAAAGGACATCAACACGTCCTGCTTGCAGGCCTCGGAGCATGACGAGGTCCAGCTGATGGATCAGACCTGGTGGCTTCCACAACAACGAGCGGAGACCTCTGCTGATTGGGCTGGCTGCTGGTGGTTTGTCAGAACCTGCCCCTGTCGCGAGAGAGTTGATCCTGTCAGGTTGGTACGCCTGCACTCGACATCTACGTGGTGCAGACACCCAGCGTCCGGCGCGCAGCACTATCAATGCTGACTCTACCTTTTTGAGGGCTTTGCTGGTTTCTGCACTGGTGCGTTGCAGTGTCATGTCAAGTGACACGCTGTCAGGACAGCGGTGGTGAGCGATACTACATCTCCAACGACCAGTTCCACTGCAACGTGCGTGTTTGCAGCGCCTCGGTTCAAACAGACTCTCAGCCTCAGGGAATCTTTCTCCATCATGTTGGAATCCTCAGAGACTGAAGTACCTCTGCCGTAAGATGTGTCCATTTCTGAGCACCCTGCTGCAGAGCGGTACTGGCTCAACACCGAGCTGACATCGTTTTATGAAGTACCTTTCGGCCAAAGCCATGCGCTCAGCGATTGTGAACTTCGGGCTGGCCTTGCATTGTGTCCTTTGCAGTCGTACAGGTCGCGCGAAGGTACCGTCAGAAGCTCAAGCGTATTCCAGAAAGTTTTGTGGTTTGCCGACTCTTTCTCTCTGCTTATAAGCAGCTCGCAGCATCCGTCAGGATTGGATCTGCGAACTACCTGAGTCGTGCAGACTCCCAAGTTTCCATCTTCATCGGGGGTCAGGAGCATGCTTGAGACATTCTCAGCCGTGAGCTTTCAGGCGTATGGTGACGACTGGAACGTCACTGTGCGGTCGATGCCTTGGTGTTCCCTTACGACATGTGCCCGAAGATCGAACTTGTCCTGTGCAAGCTCAAAGCAGAATCGTAAGCCACAAAACCCCACACAACCCAACCCACCCTTGACACAATCCCAAGGGAAAGCCGTTCTCCAGCACTTTCCGAGGCCCCACCGCTGGGAAGCGAGACATGGCAACGGCTTCGAGCCCACGGACGTGAGCCGCCTGAGGCCAGGATATTGAGTCTGGGATCTGCTCACGAAACCTTCTTAGGGCAAGCCTAGGATTGAAGATCCTTCGCTCTTCCCTGCAAACATCTGCAGATCTTGATTTGATCTTCAAGCCTCCCTGCACTCTCTTGCTCCGACTTCCAGCATTCTGTTTTTTGTCCATCAATGTCTCTTGGAAATTCCCTTAGCCTTAACTTACAGCTACTTGTTCCCATGAGTTCTGGCTTGCAAACAGGGTCCAAGATTTAAGATGTCCCTGGGCGGTTTGCGGTTTTCTCCGGCAATGACTGCACGCAGGTGCTTTGGTGGGTCGCTCCTGAAACTGTGGCGGTAGCATACGGAAGCGGTTGTATCATGTTGCATGTATCATGTTAGGAAATGATATGCTGTTTGACTTCGGTGCTGTATAGCATCATGTGCTCTCGACTGACTATGTAGTTCATTGTTCTGCCCTTCTTGATGACTTAATGGCCCGGTGTTAGATGTCAAGTTGTGCTGTTCTATGTTGCTGACACGCTGTAATTCTTGCAATGCCATCGCCTGTTCTCTTGTTCGTTGTGGTATGTTGTGCCCCCAGCATGGTAGTAGGCCCCAAGCCTAACTAAAGGTTCATCTTACTGTTGCAGGGTTCGAAGTTTGCAGTGCTTGGGTGGACACTTGCTGATGACTTCACTGGAGCCAGGCGGCGAGCAGCCGAACCCTTCGGCCCGCTACCAGAGCCGCTGTGGCCGCTGTAAAAATCGAGATGCCAATCCTGGGTTTCCAAGGCTTGCAGGTGTGAGCCATTTCCTGTCTTTGCCTTGGCAAAAAAAGCATGCGTATGTCACCGACAAACCTACACTTCATCACCAGGAGGTGGCGCTGCTGAGAACTGCCTTGGACAACCTCTTCGATGCTACATAAATTCATCTGGCAGATCATTTCAGTCGGCTGACTGCGGCTTGTGAGCACACCCTGTTTCAAAAGTGGATTTGTTTCTTACCCACTGCAGCCGCTGGCTTCTAGCCTCCGCGACTCAAGCTTCTTTCTTGTATGCGCCAAATTGGTAGTGACAAGTATTACTGGGTTTTGCGTGGCGCCGCTAGTCTTGCTTTTGCCATCTTCACAGCGTTATCTCTCGTCACTGAGACGGCTCCTGATAGGGCGCGTGTGTCAGTGTACCAGTGTGGGTGGGGACACTCGTAGCGATAGACATGACGGCAGCCCCACTGATGTTTGCTGCTTTGTCTGGTGCTGGACTGAACTTTCACAATACACAGGTTTTGAGACATCAAGACCACACCCTACTGAAGACCTTGAGGCGAAGCACCACCCAACAGAAAGAGATGCATGGGGACATAACCAAACCTGAAAGCATTCACATCTCAAGCAATCATGCACAAGATGGCTGCCACTCGAAGCTCTTTGACATAAGAGCGTCTTGGCCTTGGGCACATGGATGAATGTCTGTAGCAGCACAGGTTCACACCACCTGATGCAACATTGCAGATGTCACACGAATCACTAGCTCTGCAAGCTTGCTTCACCTATGCTTCGCAGACCGATGCTCGAACAGTCGCCAGTCCCTGCACTCAGCCCCGCACTGCAAGCAGTCGCGTTGCAGCTTTCTTCGGTGAGCTCAAGCCATGAGCGTGTTCGGGTGGAACCCCAAACCCGACCCCACAGCTCCGACCAAAGGCGATCCCACACTGTTGATCAGAGCCGATCCCGCACTTGCGACCAAAGGCGATTCCAAACTTCCGACCGAAGGCGAACTTCCGACCTTGCTCCCCCCCCGGCCTGAGGCTACAAGGCTCTTGCAAGCACGGAAGAGTGCGAGGAGAGGAAAATCCATCGATGCTGGCAGAGCCATTCGGGCCATTGCCGAGGCCTGGAAACTTTCGGGCAAGTACAGCATGAATTTCGACTCCGCATTGGTCTTAGTAGTTGGACAGCAATCGGCTGGTAAGACCTCGTTTGTGGAGCGGTACCTTGGGTACGCCTTCAGCGTGGTCAGCAATGGCATGGCAACAAAGCGACCATCCGTGTTGACGCTTCTGCCACTACAGGCAGGCAGTGAAGATGAAGTGACGGTCACTGAAGAACGTCCTGACGGAACTCGGAGCACTGAAGAGGTGTTCAAAGGAGACGAGGCCCTGATGAAATTGAGCAAGTGGGTTGCTGACAAGAACACCAACGTTGCAAAGGAGAAACTCTTCATCACCATCAGTACTCAAAAATGTAAGACCCCACGTAGAGTGATGGATCTTCCTGGAGTGCGAGCAAGCGACGAGCCAGATGAAAAGGGCATCAACGAGGCCATCATTGGAATGATCAGGGAAGCGATATCGAAGCCGAACTCCATCGTGGTTTGCCTCGCAGATGCGGCACAAGAACCCGCCGCTGGCTCTGTTTCGGCAATGCATCTGCCGGGATTGGTAGTGAACTGTATTTGCAGCAGTTTCTGATTTGTGTGAATCGTGTGTGAAGCCCCTTGGCAAAGGCGAACGACAATATGGTGAAGCTCTTCCGTGATCGTGAAGCTGGCATGCGCAGCTTCTCTGAGAGGTTAATTTTAGTGCTCACGAAGGCAGACAACTGGTTTACCAACACTCGCCGTCATGACCAAGTGCAAGAGCATTTGGATCGCTGGAAGAAGGAGTTCTATGGTATTGAGCCTATGCTGATGGGGAGCACCTTCGACAAAAAAGCCGACATCAAAGATGTGAAGGTGCGGAACTGTGAGTATCAACAAGCAAACCAGCGTGAGGAGCAGGACATCTGCAAGTTTCGACAAGAAGTCATGAACACTATGCATGGTGAAGACAGCAAGTACTGGGACGAAAAGGTCGGTTTCAAGCATGTGCAGTCTCTCGTGGAGCAGCTGTCTCTCAACATGGACATGTCAAACCTGCAGCGAATCGTTGACAAGATAAAGCAGCGCCAAAAACAGGTCGATCTGACGTTGGACCAGATTAAGGCCAACCGCGAGAACACCAATCCTAAAGTACTCGAAGATAGATGCAGCAGGTTGGTGTCAGCGCTCCTGGCAGACACGATCAAGTTTCTTACTCGATCCTCAGGCGCGTGCCTTGCAGTACATCTCTCGTCATCTCGTGAGCTCGAGGACTGCCCCGTAGGCTTTCAACATTAGGTATTCCAGTGCCTTCAGGGGTCTGTGTTCTGTGCATGGGCCTTCAGAGGAGAAGTGTTGATCGCGAAAGACGGCCAGAATGGACGCTTTCCGTAAATCCTATGGATGGTTGATTCCTTGTGATTGCTTTTCATAGTGGCAGGAGACTGCGAAGACCCTTCTGCAAGAGGAGGAGGAGTTCATGCAGATGTGGGCGGACTTCTCGCCGGACTCCATGAGGGCAGCCTGGAAGGAGCACAAGATGTCGAACATCGACTATAGCCGCGCTGACGAGCATGCACCAAGCGAGTTCGTTGATTTCTACCAGGGCGTTCTTGCAGATAAGAAGTTCGTTGGGTATGTCAAGCAATGTGAGGATCCGCTACTTCCCGGAGCCGCGCTGCCACGGGCAGCTCAGTTCTTCGAACACATGGCAATGCAGTACATGTATTTTGATGCTCGGTTGAAGTGCGGGATGTTCGATTTGCTGTTTTTTTTGTGCTTTCAGCTTATCCTTCAAACCCGGTTTGGACAATGATGCGCAGAACTGCCTAGGACGACAGCGACGTCAGCCGTATCAAGAACGCACGCACGACGAACCCCGACATGCCTTTCGTTGAAGACAACCTTCAGCGGATCTTCATCTTGGGCAACATCAAAGCTGCGAAGATGCGAGACGCCACTATGTATTTGGTTCAGAAGACAGCCTACCTGATGACCGAAGGGTTGGCTTGTGCCTTCAGCAATATGAAGAAGAACGAGAGAGAGAAACAGCTCATTGAAGCCCTGGCTACTGGTTCCAGCACAGAGCATGTTTTTGCTGTCATGCGCAGGGGCTTTATCAAGCACCTGCTGGTGCATGCACAGCATGCTTTTGTGAGCTCCGTGAGTGATCACAACCAGTTCATGCATCAAGTCGGGGAATTTCACAGAAATGACCGGCACTTGTATGGGAACGCTGGGCAGTGGTTGCTCACGGCTGTGGACGCCGAAGTCAAAAGCCTGGAAGCATTGAAACCTGTTGATCCCACGCATACAGACTTGAAGACGGGAATCCAGGAAGGGATCAAGGTTCTTGGCAACTTGCCCATGCGTGGGTCGCTGCCTGCCCTAGTCTCCGACATCTTGAAAAAAACGAAAGCCACGGGCATCCTGGAGGAAAAGGATAGTGACCTTCACAAGCTCCTGGGGATGACTGCCGTGGCGTTTGCCTTCTTTGCACCCCAATTCTCTGATGCCGTGGTCATGCGTTGCATGTCTGGTTTGCTGGGGAGCTTAGATGCAACTTTCTACGGGCACGATTACAAGGAAAGTGTCATGCAGGAGCTGAAAAAGGTTTTTATCTCTGGTGACGACGAAGAGCGCTTGCAGGCTCTGAAGCTGCGCGAAGACGAGCTCGAGGAGGAGAACAAGGACTTGTCCCAAGCCCTTGACAAGCTGGAGAGACTCCTCTGATGAAGTTCGTGCAGCGGCCATTGTTTCTGCATCGGTTCGAACACGACTGTTTCCATCCGGCCAACGTGCCTGGATCATCCTTTATTACAAACGGTTGTATAGCGACGCCGTGTATAGAGACTGCGATTCGGATGCTCTGAGAGAATGCTGTAAGTTCCTGCATGGTGTGGCAGGACATGTGCAAGGTACCCTCGTTTCAGTCAATGAAGCTTGCTATGCTAAAGCTTCTGCAGTACCAGATGACCAACCTTTTGGCTCTGCAGGTGTTCGGCAACGGCGACTGAGTCTTGACCTGCTTCACGCAGTTTCAGTTTTCCAAGCATCTTTCAGCCGTTCTGCATGCTGCCCGCTGAAGTGGTTTTTGAGCTTCCGTTTCACAGCTGGCCGTGGGCTCATCGTCACAATCCGAGGGCAACTTGCTCTAGGCTTCCAGATCAAAATAGGAGATGGTAGGCACGTCGCCAATGAAAGGTTGCTACTTTCCTGTTGCGGTGATGTCGCGGGCAGAAAAGCAGGCTGCATGTGGTTGACTTGTTATTATGCCATGGACATGATGGACCGAAAGTTCTTATTCGCTGCTTAGGCCGCTCAGAGCCTGTCTCCCAGTTGGATGGTGTTGCAAGCTTAAGCTACAGGTGTGAGACAGCGTGCAAACTTTGGCAGCAGCACTCCCACAAAGCAGCCTGCGGTTGAAACCCAAGCCTAGCAAGCCATCGCAGACATGCCAACTGCAGATCCAAAGTCGGTCACCTTTGCGTCATTCAATGCCATGGTATTACCGCAAGCAGTGCTGCGATCTGCCAGCCACGGGCGGGCGACCGAGTTGGTTGTTGGCCGCCACAGCCACAAAAAGGCGATAGCTGTCAATAGGAAGTTGAAGCACATTCGCAATTCCCAATCAGAGCAGTCGGTAGCAGATCAGTGTGCAGTCGAAAAAAAAATCCTTCCACTTCAGGCCAGTCTTGGTGGAGCTGAAAAATGGCGACTCATATAGTGGAACTCTCGCTGGCAGCTGAGACAACTTCAACATGCTGCGTTGCGGCCAGCTAGCCTGTTTGTCTTTGGCCACGCGGAAGACGTGCCTGGCAACCTGCGGTGATTTCGAAGCAATCCTTGCTTGATGTTTTTGTTGCCGAGGTTGCTGTTGATAACTCCATGAACATTCGCATGGAGGCCGGCCTAGAACGAACACCGAGGAAGACTGCAGTTGTTCCAGCCGTCTCGTGGATTCTGGTTCTTACTCATTCAGGTTCAGGGCCGAGTGGGGAGCCATGTGCGGGATGGTGAGATCTGTGTGGGGAGAGGCAAGTGACGAATGGCGAATAGGACGCGAACAACTGATCAGCATTGCCGGGGCGGCAGCTCGAGTACGACTCAGACGACGATAGCAGCGCGAATCGGACGATCAGCGCGCAGCGCATTGCTTTCTGTTTCAACATGTTTCAACGGAAGGCAAGGGTAGCGGCGGTCCATGTCAGATTGCTTTCCTTGAACGGAGTGGAAGCATGTTGCATTCTGTGATCTGGTACGTTTCTCGTCATTCTTGCAGGATGCCATCTTGACCCCGCATACCGAGCACAAGTTCGAGCGCATGAAGGAATTTATCCGCCTCTTGCTCCTCATGCCAAAATTTGAAGTCACGCATAGATGCTCGTGTCAGCTATCGTCTGTCGTCGTGCTGCAGCATGTAGCATGATGGTGCAGTCTATCAGCGACGCCTTGTTTCGAGACATTTCGTGACATTCAAACGAGTTCTCATTTTGGAATCTCTGACATCTGCTTGTTTGCAGGAGTGTACAATTCGTGGGCAGTTTGCCCCGGCCTCATCTACCCTTACGGTGTGCAGACTCATCTTGAGGTATGGAGGTTGGCGGTGTTGGCAGCAAATGTAGATGTCCATTGATTCGGGCGCATGTCAGTTTTGGAGTTTAACCGACGTTTGCCAGAATTGGTGGAAATAAGGTGAAGTTCATTCGATTTCCCGATGACATCTTGGACCGTCCTGCGCTCGGCCCATCAGCAGACTGCAAAGTGAACGCCTTCACAACCACCGCCTCTACTTTTCGGCAAAACCCTTCGTCGAAGCAGGGTCGTGCTGCTTAGGCAGTTCCCGTGGGAGCGTGCACATGGCAGGATTGTACATCTGCTCCATGGTCCTAGCCGATCTCTGTTGGTTCTCTCATCCAAGGCGTCCTGGCAACACAGGATGCTGCCCTCAGCGGCAGCAGGCAAGCCGCACTTCACAAGCATGGACAAGCATGGCCGGTGCTCTCCAGTGTGCGCCGGCTTTGAAGGGTTGACGTAGATTTTGATTCTCTCTGCCCTCCTGTCGGTCGACAGCGTTGCAGCTGCATCACGGCACAACATGATGACTGCTCAAGGGCAGTGATTTTGCGAAGCTTAGTTTGCGAGCCCTTCTTAATTGTTTGTGTCTTGTGACAGTGCGAAGCCAAAAGCTCTCTGGAGAAGGATGCAATTCCCCATTACATGCAGGAAGGGCCGCGGCAAAGATGGCAGAGGATGGGCCAAGGGATGTGGCGATCAGTATTCAGACTTCTAGACATATGATTTCATGATGGCCCGCAGCCCTGAAAAGAAAGGACGGCAAGCGTGCACACAGAAGTTGACACTTTAGACCTGTGCTTTTGCATCTCTCAGACTTGGAACTTCTCTTACTGCTTCTGGTACAGGAAGGTCGGATGAGGCGAACAAGATGCTGAGCGTGCCCTGCTTCTCCTTTGGCAGTTTTTAGTATTCATCGTATCTTAAGCGATGGGAGCATACATACATGCTTGTATATATGCACTCCCTACCTCCCTGATGCATCCTAGTGAAATGCAGGCCGACCTGATCGTGTTTAACTTCCTATCTCGTGAGGGAAGGCACCTGGCTGCGGTGGAATCATGCGTTGTCATCATCTGTTATGACATAAACATGAGCAATCTAGTGCTTTTTGCCCTGCATATGTATATAAAAACAGATGTATGTATGTATGTATGTATGTATGTATGCATGCATGCATGTATGTATGTAGGCAGGTAGGTAGGTAGGGAGGGAGGGAGGGAGGGAGGGAGGGAGGGAGGGAGGGAGGGTAGGTAGGTAGGTAGGTAGGTAGGTAGGTAGGTACACCCACACACACGCAGTTATATATATATATATGCAACCATATATATGCTCATAAAAATATATTCCAATAGAAGTTGCAACACATGTGGTTTGGCCGTTCGAGAATGGAATTACGAGGTGCCTTCCTCCATGATCGGAGCGATCATTGGCCTGAGCCTCAGGCCGCAAGCAGCAGTTGTAGGAGCTGCCACAACAATGGAGCCCAAAGCACATTAAGCCCCAGATCACCGGGCACCAAGCATTTCCGTCTCCGCGGCTAGTCTTCTCTCTTCTGGGGAAGCTTTCTGCACAAGCCCAAACCCGGAGGCCCGAATCCCGACCCCTGAACCTGGAATCCACAACATGAAGAGCACCGGGACCGAGGCCGGGGCGGTGAGACCATCAAAAAGTTTTGCACCGAAAGCGGTGCACGGATCGAGGTCGCATTGGGTTGTGTTGAGTGGATCTTAGCTTTTGGACATGCGCACTGAAACCATCGGGTGGATAACAAGTATCAGCACCAGCACCATCTTCGTCCTCCTGATCCTCCCGCCTCCTCGTCACCGTACCGCTGTCATCATCAGCACACCAATCTTGAACGTCTTCGCTCCGCATCATTAACTTCCGAGATGCCAGTGCCGGTGCAGCTCGGCTGCACGGGATGCCACTATCCTCGCCACAAGCACGCTTGGAGGTATCCAAAGATCAGCTTGAAACCACAGCGGAGAGGCGCGAGAGTTCATGCTGCACCTTGATGTCAGTTCTTGTCGAGATCTCCGTACCTGCCTGGCCTCCCCACATCCTTCGCATCTCCAGGGCAATCTTCCTCTCCGGCTCGAAAGAGAGCGTGGAGAAAGCGGATGCCATGATCCGAGACTTCGTGCAAGAGCGGGTGGGGATCCCGGCTTGGAGTGCAAGAAACTCCTAATCAGCTGTTGTCAGCTCCAGCATCTAGCATTGCTGACCAGGCCCTCTGTGTTCGTTCACGATCCAATTCTTCGCACTGCCCAAACCAGCTTTAATGCAACTCTCCACGCTCCCTCATTGTGAACCTCAAAAAAATTACGAAGCCCAATCCCTCAGTGGCCTTTTGACAACTGGAGTACGGTTTCCTTCAGCTTGCAACCTCTACCATCAATGTGTCAAGCAACCCGAGGCTGCCAGCCGTGCCAAAGCTCACAGCCGCTCCGCGGCATCGGAAGCGAATGGTTTCGTAGTTCTCGTCACACGCCCTAGTTTAGGAAGTTTTGGGGATAGCCTGCGCTGTTCTGTTCAGCCAGAAGTCCCACATTGTGCACGCGTGTCGGCTCAGGTGGGAAAGGGCACGGAGCACAGGTCCGGCGCCTGTTCCAGGTTTAGTCTCAGGGTTTTGGATTCAGGGCTTAGGGTTTAGGGTTTAGTCTCAGGGCTGTGAAAAATTTTGGATTCAGGGTGGCAGCTCGTCACACAAGCTTGTGATTACACTAGGATGCTGCAAGTTGGTGACACTCCACTGGCTCTGTTTGCTATGCTTGTCGTGTGCAATCATAGCTGAGACACTTCAAAGTCAGGATAATCTGTAGGAAAGGCTATTTTTACGCTCTTGAGCTTGTCTCCTGTGAGAAACTGGCAGAATCTCGGGCAGTCACATGAAGCAGATCTGTCATGCATGCTTCATGTGCTGTGCAAAGCCCGCCTTCAACTGCAATTCAACCACACAGAATTTTTTATCAAGTTCACCAAGGAAGACCCAGATAAAAGCCCATCCCAGAGCAACCTCGGCCGCAGGGCGAGGCGCGGCCTCGAGGCCTTGGCAGCGACCCGTTCTTTTTTTTTCCGGGGGGCATGAAGTCATCCGGAGCCTGCTGGCTGGTTTTGGGGGCATCTGCCGGGGTTGTGGGTGTAGACTCTCACACGTCGTCTTTAGCAGGGCGCGAGGGCGAGGGCTTCAGCGACTCAAGGTTGACCCTTGATTTGAAGGGCTGGCGATTTACTTAGCTTGCGGCGTTCGAGCTCTTGGTATAGGCTTGTTGTACTTTGCAGTGCAGGTCCGTGGAGTGCAAGGTTGAGAATGCATATTACTGCAGGGTTCAGCAACCCTTGTCCTAGCATCCCTTGCCGGAGCTTCCTGAAGGCAAAGGCGGCAAGAAAGGCAATGCTCCAGCGCCTGGCGGCAAAGGCGCGTGACATCTCTGGCGACCAGCACTGTAGCACAGGAAAGCACATGCGTTGCCCAGAAGATAGATATTTGGAAAGATTACACACGTAACGTTGAGGATCTCGGTACAACTGCACGCAGAATGTGTGGTGCCCACCAGGCTTGTCCAGCCTGGAGCCCATGTCGTCCCAAGCTCAATATCGGAACGTTTGATGCTGTCAGTCGTGCAAGCTGCAAGGGTTCTTGTCAACAGCAGGTAGGGTCGACTTCGTTCGGGCTCGCGGTCTTGTGCCAGGCTTTTGCATCAGGGCAGCGTGCCGGCCTAGTGTGCTGGCTTGATGTGAGCGTTTCGTCCAGGTCTCGCTAGCTGGTATTCAAGAACAACAACGAGAGGAAAGGAACAACCAAGGCAGCCAGCAAACTCAGCCTGCACAAAGTATTCTACATGAATACTAAAACCAGCTAGCTGACATTCAAAGATTGGTCGGACGACGACTGGCCAAGTCTTGGCCGGAAATCATGTTGCGGCAGGCAGGGTAATATCCGCAATCCCAAACCTGGTTGGAGCTGCCTGCGGCGTCGTAGAGGGTCTGCAGCATGAAAATAGTAATGGTATCACCTATAGAGTCTCAAGCATTACACTCATTACACCATAACATCCCCCGACCCTTGTTCTCCTGAAGCTAGGTCCGCTATACCACCCCTTAGCCGATTCAGCTCAGCTCCCCACTTGCCCAGGATTCCGCTCTCCTCAGACAGGTGGCCGAACTTCCAGCTTTGACCTGCGCCGAAAAACAGACTTTGCTACGCAGGGCTTAGGGGTTAATCCTGCTAGAAAAGATCAAATACTAAGAGCAAGTAGATCCCAAATGAACTCACTCCATGGCAATGGCTATGCTGCACTGTAGCTGCTACGAAAAGGGGTTCTAATTCTAGGATAAGAATATTTCTAATTTCTCCCTGCCTTTCAGATGTTGTTTCAGGCAACATGCAGCATTTGCCAGACATTTCGCCCCCGAGCTTGGCCGAATTCAATCGCATCTCTTGGAATTGGCTGGATGCCAACAGCTGACGTGAGTGGGTTTGAAGGTTCTCAGGGATGGGAAAAACACCTACATCGACTTCGGAAGGACGATGCCTGAACCATGCAGGAATCAAACGGCGTGAGAAAGACAAATGATTCGTGGAATGCATAGAACTCCACTCAAAACGAACGCGTAGTTACAGTGTTCGACTGCTAAACCTAAGTCTGCCTCTCCATGGCTTTAGGGCTTGGGGTGCGCTTGGATGATGGATAGTCAATGCTTGATGTGAAGCTCGACATGCTGAGTCAATCAGCAACGGGCCGATAGTCCTTTCTGGACCTAAGGTCGTTTCTATACAATTGGTTGAAAGGCTTGACAGCTTGCCTTCCTAGAAAGACCTGTATTCAAATACATGTTCCTGAATCTTTTCCTGGAACGATTCCCGGAGATCCCAAACCAGCCATAGGCTCTAGAGTCTCTAGAGCAAGCAGGGTTGGTACGGCAACACACAGGATTGACCTGCTACAAGCAGATGCTGCCAGCTTACAAAGGTATGTTCTTTTGATGCGGGGCATTGAAAGTGACATTCCATCCATCAGCTTGATCGAACTTGTTTTGCTGGTTTGAAACAGCATGGCCACCACAGCTGTTTGCAATCAAAGCCCGACCATGCTCAAAGCTCCCCTGCGGCCAGCCGCGCCATTGTGTAAGCTTCGCCCTCCAAGGGTGACGATGACCAGTGCGGAGGCCTTTCCCTTGATGGCGGTGCTAACAAGAAGTGACATAAACTCCATCACGCCCTGCTCTGGCAAGCATACCTAAACCCTAAACCCGCAGGGTTGAGTGCTTGTTGCAAACGGATGCACATCGTATGCTTTTTGAACTCAGAAGATCACATGTGCGGGGCTGAAAGCTGCAGTGCTGCATTGCTGTAGAGTTCAGCTTTTAGGATTATGGCGGTTTGCATTCTGACCCTTGAGGTGGCGCCTACGGACGGCGCAAGAGAAGCTGAGCAACAAGCATGGGATGAACACAAGAAGCCAGCGTGGAGGCGGGCTGTGTCTCGCATGCCAGCGCTGCTGGTCACTCTCGTCATCGAACTCTTTGTGGCCTTTATCGTGTCTGAGTACTCGGACCGGACTCAAACCCACCCTGGCTTCTGCGTTCTTTTTAAAGGCAACTAAAGATGAAAGTTGGAAAAGGCTAATATCACGTAACATTGCGGTTGGGCTTGTTTTGCTTCCATGGGCTGGGATGCATTTTGTAGGGATCTCGGGCAGACATCGCAATTGCTGGCCTATCCTGCGGGGACCTTGTTTGGGTGTTATTGGGAGGTTTGGAGTCTGGCAAAGTTGGAACCACAGGTGTCACGTCCAGAGTGTATTGTTGAAGGCTGCAACTGAAAAGGCATCTTGAGAATGCGGCAAAGCATTTCGGGCCCGATGTGCCGTGCAGCCACCAGGAACTTGTTTGGATGTCATTGGGAGGCGAAGTCGTAAAATGCGTTTTGGGAAGGTGAGGATCCGCATTTTGGGCTGGGTACCCTTCCGGGACTTGTCTGGACGTCGCAAAGAGGTCTGGGGCTTGGCAAGATCGGAATTAATGACATAGGTAAGGTAGGGCTGTTCCAAAATAAGCCGAAATGTGAAAAAATTCGTCTGTTTTGCGTAGGCTTACCGCCAGGCAGCGCCTTCTTTGCTCGTGCAAAGACTGGCCCGCGGGCTGAGTTCCAGTTCCACATCAAGTTTTTCGATTTTTTGGCGGAAGTCCGGTGAGGCCAATGCTAAGTCTTGTTTCACATCGATTGCTTATATGGAATATATGTGAGGGGTTCTTGGTGTCCGAAACAAAGCAACTCCAGGACACCTTCAAGAAGTACACTTTACTCATCGCCTTCCAGCCGGTGATCAGCGCTCTTTCTGGAAACGTTGGGCTTCAGACCATGGCTACCATCACCCGTGGCCTGGTGATTGGCCTTTTCAACGGCCGAGAGACGTTGCGCGGCATGCGGCTTGAAGTGAACTCTGGCATACTGGTCGCGGCCCTACTGAGCACGGTGGTTGCAGCAGTCGCGTTTGCCTGGTACAATCCATTTGCAAGTGGCCATTCTTTCCTGGGCACGTTGGCCTTTGGTTTTGCCATTTTTCTGGGGCAGTTTGCATCAACTATCTCGGCTAGTGTCACGGGCAGTTTGGCACCCCTGCTTTTCAACAAGTGTGGCTGGGATCCAGCTGCACTGGGCGGGCCGTTCGAGACCGCCTTCCAGGACGTGATTGGCAGCTCCGTGATGCTGGCTGCTTCTGCAGCTGTCCTCGCGCAGTTTGGAGATCATGCAGAATCCTGTCCTGGAGGGGACGTGAAACGCTGTGCTTTGCTTTGCAAGGAGGGGCCCAGTTATAACGAGCAGTGCTTGCATCACTGCTTGGACCTTGCATTGAACGGTCTTTGCTGAGGGAGCCGGGAGCCCAAGTTCCTCACCAGGCGGATCTGCACACCTCGTGGTTGTCCTCTCAGAAAGCAAAGGTATACCCATGGGCTCCATAGTAGTTCCTTTTTGTGGCTCATATGTAGGATCCTATAAGGTAATCCCAAAAAGGAACTACTACGGAGCCTCTGTACAGTTCACCAATTTTTGACCCCGATCCTGGGTTCACTTCGGAAAGAGCCGCGCCTCGGCCTCCGGCTCTTCCTTTTGTGGTCGTCCAGCGACCGTGGGCCCAGGAGTTCCTGGGGAGGTTTCCTTCTGGAGGCTCTATAGTGCGAGGTCATCCCTCTTTTTTTAGCCCAACTCCATGGCCCCCCATCAGTGAATTCGTCAATCGGTGCTGTCCAGATGCAACAAAAGCAAGACCACGCTGGCATAGTTGCTGACTCAACGCACCAGTGGAGATAGCTGTGATCATGCTTTCCACCGGCAGCTTGCATCGCGGAAGTCCCCAAAGATGTCTTGGTCTTAGACTTTTTCGAACCTTCACACGTCGTCATGCTTGAATGATCCGAGGCTTCTTGTAGTTTGCACACCATGCCTTTGACATTTCATCACCTTCAGCTTGTAGACTGTCGTCCAGTTCAGACTTCCCGCCGCATGTTCCTGCTGTTTGGCTCTACGGAGGAGCCCCTTGTCGACCATGCAATGGTGGTAGCTTCCTTATGCAAGAATCATATATATATATATATATTTGTATCCAGGCGAGCGAATCAAGACCCTTGCTTATTACATTGTTGGTGCGAGCCATGCTTGCAGTGCCGGCAGTTTCCAGTCAGCGACGTCCCATCAACTGCTGCCTCAATAGGTCTTGCAGCATCATACTGGCCAGGCCATGTAGGCGACAGCATGCGACAGCTGACTGGAAGCATCAGCTTGACGGATGACGGCTGCTCAAGCGCGTGTGGGACCAAGTTGAACTGTCTTCTCCAGCTCTTTCTGAACGAGGGAGGCCCAGGCGCATGACAGCATGGCCTTCAGTCTTCCGTGTTCAAGCATTCTGTGAGCTTCCGGTGTCAGGACGGATTGCATGGCGCTGCTTTTCAGGCGGCACAGCCGTGCTGGGCGTAGGCTGGGAGCTCCCTGATTGCATCTGCCGGAACTCTGGCAGAGTGTGGGTTCACTCTACAACGAGCCCTAGAAGGATCTAGAAGGGCGCCTGATCCCTTAACTTGCATCCACGTCGGTTCTTCTTTCAACTCCGCTTCTAAGCGAAGTGCAGGCCTGGCTGTCCGGGAGCTGCAAGACACCTTCTTCCAGGCCCGCGTGCACCCCGCCTTCGGCATTCCATTCTTGCACCACCTTGCATGATACTTACATGGGTGTATGGTCTAGTTTAACATGAACTGCCTTGAGTTTCCTGGCGCGGGCGTTTTGTGGTGTCGAAGGCTAGAGAAGTGGTTCATTGTACCAGGAGGTGCAAGTCGACGACAGAGCCCAGTGCAGAGCTCAGTAACTATCACGCAGTCGTAACATCGTTACCAAAAAGCTAGTCGTTGTGACTTGATGTTGTCTCCCATGATGTTTCTTCATTCTGGTATTGCTTCGACATACTGTTTGATGGCTCCTGTCTTACATTTTTGCATGCCTCCGCTGGTATTCTAGCACCTCATCATGGCAGCATTTCGCTCGTGAGATTGTGGCGCCCGATAAGCACTGCTTACAAGCGGTTTGCCCTACTGTGTTGCCAGCATATTGTGCCATGGTGCAGTGTAGTACTGTAACCTTGCGATGCGTTCCGGTGCAAGAACGTGCTCTGGCATAAGGTTCTCGTCACTCGATTGACGTTTTGATTGGCACATCCTTTTTCTGGGCTACATCGGCCTTATTGCGGGACTATGACGGTAACATGACAGATAGCTATTGTGGCGCTGGATTGCCATGTTTTGCCTGGCGTGATATCACGTTGAAGACAAACCTTTAATACTTTTGTTGCATGCCATGATGTCATGGGTGTTGCTATATGCCCAGGGGGCCAGTGTTCTTTCTATTTCCACTGTTAGTACTGACTTTTCTATTGGTTTACCAGCTTCATTTCCCACGCAGCTTCTGCAAGGACTAGGCAGAGCTCAGGCGTGACTTGTAGTGCGCAATGACCCAACCCGGAATCCCAAGAAAAGCGCCGAAGTCCCAATCCCCCTGGCCCTAGCCCTTATTGAAGTCCTCTTAACTCGTCAAGCCTGTTTATTCGCCAAGGGTGGTCATGTTAACTGCCCAGGCTGCTACTGGGACTTGACCAGGGCCTTTTAAGGGCCCGACGGGCCGGGGCCTGAAAGGGTGGGAAGCGACCTAGAGGGTTTGGGGCTTGGGGTTTAGGGTTTTCACTGAGGATGTTTTGGGGTTCAGGGTTCTGTCGGAGCTGTTCTATTTCTGGCTGCGTCTTCTCAATATGTGCAATTTTTGTTGGAACGAAGGAACGTGAACAGAAGCTTCGTGACATTATGGCTTCGGCAGACAAGTGCTGTCCCCAGCTTGCTGCAATGTCAGGCCATGCGACAATCGAAGAAAGCTTTCCGAAACCCCCCGCCCCAAAGGGCTTTCCTTCCTGAGGCGGGCACGCGCTGTCGTGGCCACAGGCCGTGCTGCCATGATTCGGCTGCCGGGTGCTCTATTTATAAGTAGCACCTGTAGTGCTGCAGTGTCACAGTCTTTAGCTACGGCATTCCCCTTTTATGTTGTATGCTCTATCCATTATAGTATATGCATACATACATCTTACATGAATACACATGCCTCTGTCTTGGGTCCTGCATTTTGGCTTCTGCGGTCGAGTGAAAGCCAGTTTCTGGCAGCTGGCGACGGCGACTCTGCCCAAGCGCTGCTGAAGCTCCGCGCGCAGCTGGTAGAAGAGGCGGCGGACCAAGGGCAAGCTGTGCTGCTGACTTGGTGTTATGCCCAGTGAGCTTGGATAGACATATGCTGAGCAGAAGAAGCTGGCAAGTGACGGGTGTGTCTGCGCTGTCACTCCACGTAAAGCCACGTCTGACTAGCTGTGACATTTTTTTGCCACTGACATTTTATGATGAAGTTGCTTTCGGCATCACACTCCGACCTAGAAATCAACGCAACTCTGCCTTCTGGTGGGCTTCGCAAGGCACATCGCGTGATGTACCCTTCACTCACCCGCGAGGAGGTCGATCAGAGGTGGACGCCTGAGGACAACCTCGGGTCGAAGCCACCGTGTTCACGATGTACCCGAGTCTAAACCGGATTCAGCGACAGACAGTGTCATCCACACGGTTTAGGGTTTCGGGTTTAGGGTTTAGGGGACCATCCACCTATTGCAATATTGTTTTACGCATGTGTGCATGGATGTGGATCGTGTATCTCTGGCCAGTATTTGGCAACCGTGAAGTTCGAATCCAAGCCACGGCCAAGGCGCCGGACATTCGGGAACGTGAAGTGGACAGAGGCCAGTGACAAGACTCGGTAATATTCGGAAACTTGTACAGAAATGATAATAAGGCTAAAAAAACCCTCTTAATCTTCATGATGGCTGCATGCCCCACTAGGAAGAAGAGCGACACCATGACAAACCCGTTGCCCGATGGTTTTCTTCAGCTCCCTCAAGACTCACAAGACAAAACTAGGTGTTGATGATGCCAATGCGTGTATCTCAAGAGGAGCTCCCGGTATGAATACCATTATATAATTATATACCATACGGCTCTGGTTCAGGGACGAGTTTCAAATCCGTGTCCCCTACTACATTATAATATACTAGACTCTACTCTAATATACCAGAGCATACTGCAACATGCAGCTACATGCTACCACGTACTATAAGAGACTAGAATATAGAGAATAATGGGGCCCACTGAGCCTTGAGCTGAGCAGGCCGCCCTGCAGCTGGTGGAGCGCTTCTCGCCTTTGGTGGAGGCCCGGGGAGAAGTTGATTGTGGCTTCCAGCGGGGATGGTATGGCTTACGTACGACTTTTCGCCGCCACCTAGGGCTGTAAGTCTCAGGCTTCGCCTTGCTGGGAGTTAAGGTGAACAGAGCTTAGTCTCTGACATTCGAAAGATTCCACGGAGTGGCAATGTAGATCTACTTGCATCCCTAAACCCTACACGCTACTCCACAGTCGGGTTGTCCTTTGAGGTTGGTGCTGGCGAAGGCCAGTGGCAGTCTGAACTCCGCCGCCGAGGAGCAGATGCCGGGCCCTGAATCACTGCAAATATGAGACCAAAAACAAAAGAAAAGGAGACAAAAAACATCTGACGTAGCGACACCCCTCCCCCCCCCCCCCCCCCC